CTTTAATTTGCTTTCTAGCCAATGATTACACTCCGAATCACCTTTTCAGAGTCAAAAAATAAACCGTAGAATAAAACGTATTTTCCTAAACAATTGTTTTTAAATGGTTTACTGAATGTATTGCCCCGGGTCTGAGCTCGGGTCTAAATGTTTACTGATTGAATTAGACCAATTTACTCTTAAAGGGGCAACAAAGCCTGTAGAGAGAAAATAGGAAAATTTTAGCTTCAAAAAGGGGAAATCCCCTTTTATGGTTTTAAGAAATGAAAATCAGCTGAAATAATGTTTATCCAGGGGGTTTCTTTGTAGATAATAAAAATAGGTGCAAGTCTTGATGAAGCATAGGTATCGATATGGCGAACTGAATTAAACAATGTTTTTCTCTTAAACCAATTTATGAAATCATTCTGTAAAAAACAGTCCTTTATGTTATGTTGACTGATTGACAACAATTTAATGCAAAAATTATTTTTAGGGTATAGACGACCATTAAATTGACGGTGTAAAATTTTTAGAATGCTTCGATGACTGGTTTAAGAGAAACGCGTGTTCAAAAAGTTCACCATATTGATACCAACCCTTTCAATATATTTTGACACTGGTCCATGATCACCAATTGTTGCTCCTTTAAGTTGGTAATTATAAAATAAAATTGGTATGGATATGCAGAACATTTGTTTCTCTCAATCACAGTTTCATAAAGTCGTCATATGTTATAAACTTATATCCCATTCCGTTTAATCTCGACACTGGACTCCCGTTAAAATATTCCACGTTTAATTCCGGATGTTTCTTGGCGTCTCCCAGGACCTGTTCGAAAGCCTTGATGTGTACTCGCTCATTGAATGGAACATTATACACATCACCTTTAACTTGGTAGTTCGAGAAAAAATAGTTTGAGTTATTTTTAGGGGTTTCTTTCATTACAAGTGTACCATCTTTTTGAGCTGCAGATCCATCAATATGCTCGACATAGTTCATGTCGATTCCAAGGAGAAGAATTTTCTCATACCCCAAGTACTGTCCAACCCTAGCAGACAGGGCTCCCGTAGATATGGTCTTAGAGGTCAATTGCACCATGTTTACGTCCTTCCCAGCTTTAATGTTTTCATAAAACTTCATTTTTGGATTGTTTCTTAGTTTAGGTGCTTCCTTTTGAATATTTGCTCGAGTAAAAAATAGTTTAATCCCATATTTATCTGAGTTGTCGACCATGTCCATGAGCTCTGGGATGTGAGCAATGTTAACAACGGTATCAAACGATGCGTAATATGTCGGCCACCAATCAATCTGTTTCCAGTATCTAAATGCTAAGTTCATTCCTAAAGTATCAACTCCTTTAGTCTTTGAGAAGTCAAATCCCTTCAGTGATGGTCCATTCCCAAACACAATTAGCTTTTTATACATGATACACTTGTCACTATCGGGTTTAAAACACCACGTTAAGCACTGATCAACTGCTGGTTTGTCTTTGGTACCTGCCACGCACGATTGAGTCTCTTTGGTTACACACCAGCCACAGCTTTGGTCAAGCATACACTGTTTCTTGCCTATGATGGGCGTACACTCTCCAAGAGAAGGCTTCTGTTCTCGGTTCTGTTCTCGGTTCTGTTTGTATGATATAGAACGGGAAACCGTGCGGAAGTCGATCTCTCCAATACGGTCATTTCCCTGGCTACTGAGAAGTATAAGTTTAAATCCTAGTATCGCTATGAGCAGCAACAGTGAAAGGCTAATGAATGATCTCTTAGTGATCATCATTTCTGTGTTTGTATTTGTTGAATTAAGTTATTCCTTTCCGAGATACGATGCCCTCAATAAGCTGCTATACTGATGCTTATGTTACGAAGTCCCAGTTGAACTTAAATAGTGTCTTCACTGAGTATGGTGTTTAACAGTTGTGAAATCTAGTTACTGTCATGTTGTTTGTCAGTAACTATACCGATATCAAGAACATGCTACGAGGTCATCAGGTTTCGCTCGACTGGGAAAGAAAACGTCCGTGGCTATTGCAGTTCACTCTCAAAATAAAACTGTAGAAATGGTTGGTCAAAGCATACCCTTTGCATTCGTTTGACTTCACTTCTTAAAAGAGAGCTTCGTCTTCACTCTTTCAAACTAAAATAAACCTGTGAACTCACCGTGCCAATCAGTGTTCGTCGGCCAAATTTGACCGACGTTCTTTATATGGTCATTCCTTCTGACGTCATCGTTGAGCCCGGAATTGACCAATGACATGCGCATATTCAATTAGAACGCATTTGGCGTATGTTTCTTCAAGCTCGCTTGATTGGTGGAAGAAAGGTCAGCACGTAGGTCAGAAGTGATTTACTACCCAAACTGTCACCGGTACCCGTCCTGGGGGCGGGGCTACTTAACTGTAATATGGTCTCTACTAGGCAGAGTGTAGTTTAACTAGACTCTGCACGCAGGGTAGTCAAAGCACGCAATTCTGAGTAATCCTTTTGACAAACTATACTATATAGCTAAAGTGCGCTGTATATTTCTTTTACTACTTACTTTGAATAGACGTCTATTGACTCTATCGGTAAAGACTCATAGCCTCATGATTTCAAAGTCTATTATTGACGTGAAGAATTAGTATTTGCACAGTAAACAGTGGACTCGCCTACTTACTACATACTTTCAATAGAAAAATATGTCATGCATGGGGTACGCTATTGATAAACAAAGGCGACACATTACTACAATACAAATTTTCATTTCTATTGCTGGAGTATTAAACTGTGTTTATTTGCTATATATTCATTTCCCATTTAAATTGGTGAATTCACAAGAAATCTGTGTGTTAGAAGTTTAAAAGTATATTTTAAAGCAGTCGCCTCAAGTACACCTTTTTCCTATTTATTCCATCTGAAAACATGCGAATTAGACTTATTAATTCATTTTGTGATTTTTTTCATCAATGGTTTACCAAGCAAAATACGTGTCGAGGTCAAATTCGTAATTTTTGAAACAATTAAGCTTTGTTACATCATAGCGATGTATTACATACCTAACATAAAGGAAACATGGCTGTATTCTTATTGAATTTACTGAAGTTACTCACAGTCTTTTGTACTTTTAAAGTTAATGTTAATTGAATACATTGATGAGGATACTCCAAGCAGTTACTTTGTGTATGCCAAAAGAAATTAAGTTTTTTATTTCTATAGCTAAGCCTCTTTGCACATATTCATTCTTTTTAGTTACATGGTGCTACCTTGTACTGTCACAGGGTCTATTTACATACATGTGGGCCCATTCGCCAGGTCTCAATGTTGAAAAAGTTTTAATTGCTGGTCATGTAATTTTCTGGTTCAAAATAGTGTGTGTAAACATAGATTGATAATTACTTTTATAATTAATATCGTTGCATTGTGTTTGAGTAGATCTGATCAGGATTAAACGCCTATTCTAGAAATACTGGCCGTGTCCTAACGAAAAAACATCCAAAATGATTGCAGAAGAAATAACTAAGGATACATCATCGTGTCTTCATGCTTCTTTTTGAAACCGAAATTAAAGGCAGAATCTGATCTATAGGGGGTGACAAAATTACAAGCAACATGTATAATTGACCTACCAATCTATTCCTTACAATATCAAATACAATATCTGCCAAAAGATTCACAATATGTTATAAATTGGTGAAGTTATTAATGATTCAAAGTGCAAAAATGAGTGAAAAATGTTTAAATTCTCCCAAATAATAAGAATGGTAACCATTCTTATAGAAAAATAATACATTATTGTAAAAAGCTTTAGTTTTCCTGGAATAAAGTATGCACTTTTGTGATTTTTAAAAAATAGACATGACAAGGAATGACATGAGCCAAAAATATTCTAAACTTGAAACAATTTTTTGTTTAGCCTGCTCGCTATATCTGATTCTCTCTTTAACATAGCTATGTGTAGCAATTTTTCAAAAATGTGAGTTTACACTTTTGCCTAAAGAATTTTTTCATACAAACAGATACAAGGCCTACGCCGAAGCATTATTGGCCCTGTTAAAGTAGTAACAATATAGGTTAAAATAGGTCACAATGTAAAAAATGGTTGATATAAAACATATTTATGAACATGAAAATAATCGTGAAAACGTGAAGACAGGTCAGAGATTTATGTACATATTAATGAATATTGGACTATTTAACTTCCTTGACAATAGAGTGTAAAAATTCGGCTGTTAATTCAATAGCCGTTTTATTTGTAATTGTGTCAAGAGAAGGATCTGCAAAAAGTAGAAAGTCTACCCTGTCTGCCTGTTTTGTATTATTAAAGTCCCCGATAAATCGGGCTACGTATACCGCCGTGTTTACATAAGGGGATTAGAAGAGTTTATTTTTTATTTAGGCATGCAAGCTACGTATATCAATATTAGGCCTTCATTCATGTACTCGTGTGCATGTAATCAGCATGCCCTTCAATATTATGTAAACCAGGCTATTCAAGTACTGTATAATGTACACTATTTATGTGTGTACTACATACAATACAATTCCCTGGGAAACAAAACACAAATACTTTTTATATGTTCAAAATGAGCTATTTGATTGATGCAAACACTAAATAGCTTCATAAATAACATCTACAAAGTATATCTAATAGTAATTTTCAATTTCAATGGTAAAACATCCCTGGTTACGATTATATGGGAAATCATCACGAGACGAAGATCGTTCGCCTTCCTGGCTTACCTCTGAATCGTGAACCTGGTAATCTCTTTATATAGTTTAGCGAGAGCGGTGCGCCTGCGCAGTTTTAAACTTTGGCGCACACTTTAAAAGAGTTTAAATTAAAGGATGGCAGTCCCCCTAGTTCTCTGTGAAAATTGAGTCTTTGAATGTTAATTAAAAGAGGGCAATGGAGCAATAGGTGTTTGGTTGATTCAGTGGAGTGACCACATTTACATTGGGCATTTGGAATATTTTTGAAGTTATGTGTAAAAAGATGCTGCCTAAAAATGAGATCACATCTCGTTTTATTTAAGACAATTTCTTTATCTCTGGATATAGGTTTAATCTTGGGGTTGTGAATTCTTTCTTTTTCCCATTCAAAAATGTTCTAATTTTATACTTAAATGAGTTGTGTGACTGTGCTTGTTTCAGTTCATCAGGTAAATTATCCCATAAAGAATATATATGTCGTGGTCACCATTGTGGATAACAAACCACGATGCTGTCAATAAGACCGTTTTACACACTATATGTGTACTTTTTGATGCAGTTATTACCAGAGTCAGCCACCAGCACAACACCCGGTTCCAAAATACTCACACCATGTGGCATCCTCAGCTTATCACTAAAACTCTCAATAGAAGCCAGGAAGGTCCCATCATAATTAAAGATGAGCACGTTTCCTGTATCACGGATACCAATGATAATATGACCCGCCTTGTCGTAGACTACGCCTGCGGGAGATTTCATTTGTCTCTTACCGCCCGTATCATCTCCGAAATGGTACTTGAAATTACCGTGTTTGTCAAGGACTTGGATTCGGTTATTTCCCCTGTCAGAGACGATAATATCGTCGTCTTCACCCATGCATATGAACGACGGATTTTTAAAGTTGGACGGACCATTGCCATGAGATCCAATACGTTTTAGAACGTTTCCGCTTTTATCTAAAATGAAAAGTTTGTGTTGTTCGATATCAGAGACGATACTCTGGTTTGCGCTGTTGATTGCAACACCCCACGCCTTGCGAATCTGGCTGCATTTAAACATGTTGATCTTCCGGCCTTCAGTAGTGTAGCGTTCGATCGTTTGTTCTCTGTCTGTACATATAAGTTCATCGTGCCTATCATTGATGCCGATACACAACGTAGCGCTATCGATTTGTGCTGTGTATGCTCCGTCTTTGTCAAACACTCTCACTGCTCTGTTAAATGTATCGGCCACGTATATTGCATCATCCTTTCCTGTAACAATACTTATTGGTTTATTTAATTGACCGGTATCACTACCATGCTTCCCGAATTTCAATACAGGGTCGTTACTTTGGACTGTAAACTCTTCGTTCGTATTGCTGAGTATATTTTTGCCGAGTAAGACGCCAACGGTGTGTTTTCCACTGATTTGTGGTATATAACTGACACCATATGTCCCATCACCTTCATCTGTGACATTCACATCCAAAACATCATTGCTTGGATCAACAATACGAGCACTGATCTTGTAACCATTGAGACCATTGCCTCCTCTGCTCTTGACGTTTACAATTACGCTGGTTGCCAGGGCGGTGGTTGCTGGTTTGATATCGACAGCTACGGTTGCAGGTAGAATTGCATCGACTTTGAGAATTCCGATGGTTTTAACTACAGAAGAAAATTCGCTTAGTTGGTCACCTATGTCGAACGTGACGGAATTCTTCATATCTTTGTAAACGGCCCGATCTTTATACTTCTCAACTAACGCAACTTGCTCAATGTAACCTTCCTCATTTCCGGTTTCAAAAATGGGCAAATCCTTGTTACCTATTTCGCTAAAATAGTCATCAATTATTTTCAGTTGCTGTTTCATTTCTTTCACAGCTTGGACGTTAGTTTCAATTGATCCATTTTGCACTTTGATTTCAGCGTCCAACTCCTTCAGCACTTCCGATTTACGCCTGTGAATTATATCAATCAATGCCTCGAATGCATTTTCTATATTCTCTCGTACGACGTCTTGACTAAGAGCGAGACATTCTTGTTCCCGTTCAAAACCAGTGATTTCCTCATCACACAATTCTTGTAGTTTAGCCACTTCCGTTCGCTTTTCGATCGCATTTAGTTTAAACATGTCGTTAGCGTAGGGAGAGGTCTGAATATCGAGCTCATTGTGTCCCGGGGTACATTCACAACATATTGCTTTCCTGCATTTGCTGCAATAAAAACTAAGCAGTTCCCGGTCATGCGCATCACATACTTTCGGTTCAACTTCCGTTTCCGTTAGTAACATCACGTATGAGTTATTAGAAAGACATTCCACAGACTCCACTAGCTCTACAAGCTCTTTGCATGTGGGGCACTTGAAAGCTGGACCGTGTGCGCTCAGAGTTTGGAGACACTCGAGGCAAAATGTGTGGAAACATTTTGGCGTTACTTTTGCTATGTGAGAAGACCGGTCAAACGTGTTACCACAACAACTACATCGTGGGTGCCATTTTGTCGACATTCTCTCACTAGCCTATATTCAAACAGACACATATTTATTAAGTTATAAGTGCAAGCCACTCAAGCCAGCAATCTAGAATATTAGTTTGAATTCGGTTTCAACATATCAATTTTACACCTGGCAAATGTTGTGTCCTAGACATTTCTCTTATATCATTATTGTACTCTTATATCATTATTGTATGACTTGTAGATACTGGTAGAAAATATAAATGGTTTTAAAGTTAACAGCATATATAATTTATAACACTTGATCTGTTGCTCTGAATTCAAACGGAAATATTTATAGTTTTATCTGAATCCAAGCAAACTGATTTATAAACAATAGTTAAACTTGTCGTTGTATTTTGAAGAATAAACACAGTTCAAAACTTACCCTTGCTTACGTACCTTTGCTAAGGTCCTATCTTATCAAATTCTGTAAAAATTATAAATTATCAGGACACAAATTTGTTAACAAGAGCTGTTTTCAGGCATTAAACTGCTAACGTTACTTCAATCTATTTCAAGTACTTTCATTTGCCATGTACGCAATATTTCTCGTTAAGACCCAAATCAAATAGATGAATCAGTCACATTTTATTTTATGACCCAAGTCAATCAGATTGGATTGGTTTTGTTAAGTTGTCTGAGTATACGTCCTTATCTGTAAGTTGCATCCCCATGTACTGAAATTGTCGTCTGTTGCAACTGTCTTCTGCTGCAATTGTCGTCTGTTGAAATCGCCTCGACTTCTCGCGATCGGGAGATTTGCTGGTGTTCCTTTAAATTCGATGTATTCAAGAATTTAAGTCCATCAAACTAATCACAGTGGGACTATTCTGTCCTTGTTTAATTTCTAACACTTAAATTGTGAACACCGGGACATTTAAGTCAAAGATGTTTTGCTTGATTCGATAAGTGTTTTAAGAGGTAAACTATGATAAGATATTAACAATTGTTCGATGTGATAACACTCTCAAAGTCAACCATAGGTCCATTATGTTTTTCTGTTCACATGTTCAAAGTCATTATGTATTGATAACAAGTTCAATAGTGTATCGTCCGAATCGAGTCAAAAATATAAAACAACCAATAGACTTTCAATCAATACGAATGGAAGTCCTGGAGCACGTTCAAACTTTTTGATGAGAGACCTCGTCGTATACTATACAGTGAATTGCCGAACATACCACAACTGGCAAAGTTATTATAGAAGAAACCAGCCGCACAAACAGGTCCTAATTTTGTGCAATATTTATTTCAATCTTTTTACATGAACTCAACAAATATCAACAATAAAAACCGACATTAGTAAAGGAAATATGACAACAACAAAAACAATTTCTTTAACGCATGCGACAGAGTGTTAGAATAAAACTGAAACTGCTCATGCTAAAAATAAAATATAAATTTCAGTACAAACGTTGAAACATGCTCATCCTTCTTTTTCTGCTGTGTCTTTTTTAAGTTGTCAATTATCTGCTTTTGTTTCAATGACGTACTTTGAACTTGCATGTGTATAAGCTAATGTAAAATAGGTTTGTTCATTTGATTATACCCAGAATTCGATTAGATTATGTAACCCACAATGTATCAACATGTCATCAGAAGTATCGTTAGTAGATCTTCAAAAAGCAAGTTAAGAAAACATGGAACAGGATCTTAAGAGGTTCTGGACAAATCATTTGATTCTGGACTTGACATTTTTTTTTTCCAACGAAATCACATCCAAGGGTTGAATTTTTATTGGATATTTAGAGAGCGAGTCCTGTATTGATTTCAATAAAAAGGTTAAAATAGAACGCTATTTGAGAGTTAATCTTATACTTTCATTACATTGATAAATTAAGGCAAATTCTGAAAATTTTAAAGTGCATTTTTTATGAAATATTATCCAAGTATTTAGATGAAACGGTCTTATTTAAATACAAATCATAACATGATGATATTTTTTCATAAAATATTTCTTCAAGAAATTCAATTGAAGGCTCAAGATAAAACGAGCTAATTTAGGTGAAAACCCTTACATGATGATGTGTTTTCATGACTTCTTTCATAAAATTCCATCAAGGGGTGAAAATAAAATGATCGAATTTAAGTGATTTAAGGATCACGAGGATAGGTTTTCTTGGATATTTTCTATGAAATCCCATCCAGTGGTCAAGGTAAAATTTTTATTTGGTATATTTGGTCACGTGTTCGAACCCATAGAACCATATAGGAACGTCATTTTGAATGTTACGTGATAAATCCATATAAGGCTTTTAGAACAATGTGGGGAAAGATGAGGGGAAACCCCTGACACCTGTTCACGATTTTATCCGAACGTTCATCGGATCATTTCGGTTTTTATGCACTTCATTATTTTACCGAAGTTTGCCGATTCGATTCGTCGTATTTCGGAATATTGGGGACAATTTTATACTCCATTGGGAGTATTTTTAATCTACTTCTTATTACGAAGATTCCCGAACCTTGTTCGGATTAATCCGGATTTTCTGACCTACTTCATCTACCGAGATTTAACGAGTTTACATTCGGCTCATTTCGGAATCCTAGTGACAATTTTATACTCCATTGGAGTATTTTTGATCTACTTCTCTGGATTTTTGATCTACTTCTTATGACGAAGATTCCCGAATCAGTTCGGATTAATCCGGATTTTCTGACCTACTTTATCTACCGAGATTTAACGAGTTAACATTCGTCTCATTTCGGAATCCTGGTGACAATTTTATACTCCATTGGAGTATTTTTGATCTACTTTTTCTGGATTTTGCCCTACTTATTATAAGTTGACAGCAAGCAAATCAAAAAGTTCGCCATGAACGGGTTTCGATCGACTAACCTAGAGAGTGGAAGCTAAACAAGCTAGCCATGAGGCTAACGTTCACCTGTGTGAGATGATAAAAGTATCATATATTTATACCGAGCGTCAATTTAGAATGATCTTCGCTTTTGACTCCACTTAGATACAACTCGTCAGTTGTATCCAGAATAGGTGAACGCCTATGGTGTTAGTGAATAACCAAATCCCAGGCGAGTGGTTCGTATCCCACCGTGATATGTTATTTTTGCTTTATTAATACGACAGAAAGGAGCAAGGTGTAGGTTTGAAAACAAGACGTACGTTTATTTCAATACAGTTTTAGAAACATTAACCTCTGATAATTGAAGGATTTCCACTTCTGAAGCGCGACTAGATCTAAGAAGTTCATTAATCAAGACAGTGTAAACCTTTTAGATATATGTTAGACAATGTACACGCCCCGTGTGGAATCAACTAAATGTTACATTTTGGATTTCATTGAGATCCTGTCATAGTCCTAAAATTTATTTTTCTGGAACATCATTTTTTCAACACTGATACAAATTTCCCTGACATTTCCATGACATCTCTACAGTTTCAAAATTCCCGGACTCTTTGGCCCTTTTTGACCTTATTTTAAAATTCTCTGACATTTCAGGCACTTGGAAAATTAAATCAAAACCCTGACATTTCCAGGTGTGTACGAACGCTGGAATTATTCTTAAAATATCCTTCAAACAAAAGGGGAAAATGCTATGCACAAATACTCTAATTTAGTTTGTATTGTAATGCGTTGTATTACATTGCATTGCATTGTATTGTGTATTTATTTGAGTGTCCGTTGACGGTAAAGAAGGCATTTAAAAGTTATTTGTGAAACTTAATAAACTTAATAAACAATACTTTAACAGTATTCTGTTATGGCAAAGTATATTTCATTTTTTCTCTTGTTCTCTACAATCTGCGTTGAGGACACTGAAGCATATGTCTGTATTTTGTTGGTGGGGAACAGCGTATCCTATCGTTCACGGAGCAAATTCAACTCTCGTTCACGAGTACCTTGTTTTTGGGCTCTTGTCCCAAAGATAACGATTGTATAAGGTTGCATAATCAGGATTATGAGCTTTCATGTTCTCATAGTTACATCTGTTGTAAAACGAATCTTGTCGCAACCTCTGCGAATCACGACAGCATAACATTTGAATCACGTTGACATCATTGCAAAATTAGGCTAAATATGCTAAGTCAAGACGTTAATTAGCCCACGAAAGTTCATGGGTAACTTGAGAACTACAAAATACAACCAAATACTTTTCGAACGTACAATAGCAATATTTCTCACCTAACGTCTTCATAGTTTTAGGAACGTATTTTAAACGCATGATAGCCAAATATATCAAGATACTATATCTGCCTAAATGAAGTTATCTAGTGTTTACAAAGTTTTGAAATATATTATATCCAGATCCATCAGAAATTAACTTATCCATTTACATTACTTTACTAGTTCTAGTATCTTGCATGACTCGTTCATAAGAATTCTTTAATTCTACCTCGTTCCCAATACGTCCTCAGACAGACAAGAAATTGAAGTCACACCCGTTTGTTTGCGTGGCATATTTATACGTATACGCATTTTCTCTGATTATTGTCAAACAAATACATTTCAGGAGAAGAACATAAAAAACAAATGCCTGAAACGAATGCCGAAACATAAATCCCAAGTGATTAAGTATAGAATGTTTTATTCTTTTACGATTTGATAAGAGACCGAGACTAAGAAATTAAATGCGACGAAATATTTTGACAACGTAATTTGTATACTGTTTTATTCTTAAAGTTCTATGCGATAAATTATTTTATCTGTTTCAAAATGTTTCATTTTATTTTGCCTATATAAAAAAGTGAAGAAGATAAGATAAACTGTTCCGTAATATATATTGTGTTTTAATAACCTTTTTTTTAGAATCACAATGTAAAATAAATCTCCCGTTCCTGCCATTCTGGTAACGCCATGCAATGGATGCAATTCAAAGTGAGAGAGAGATCTATGAATAACAGAATGCGTCCATGCCATTAATTTGGCCAAATACATGGCATGAAACTGACGTAAGTTTAAGTAAGCTACGCCCCCCGCTTTCTCTGGTAAATTATGACTTTATTTTTCGGAGTAATGGGTTTCGGACAACTGGGTTTCGGAGAACTGGGGTGTACCCGATTACGCTTTGCACGCCGCTTTAAAATCCCGATGTCTCCAGAGGTAGTTTAATCCGGTAGCCGACAGGCGTTTCTTGCATTATTGAATACAAGCTAACCTTATATTCGCGAATGCAACTAACGCCTTCCGGCTACCTGATTAACCCAGTATAATATGACCAAGTCATTTAAATATGAATGGAATAGTGGCAGGTACTATTCGTATTGACATGAGTTTCCAGTAAAATAATAGGTTAATCCGGTAGCCGACAGGCGTTAGTTGCATTTGCGAATACAAGCTAAGACTATGATTTGGGAATGGAAGATTTCAGCTTCCGGATTAACCTACCATTCTATGGGCGACTCATTTAAATATGAAAAGAACCTGACAATATTCCATTAACATTTTAATGAATTGCCCATAAAATAGTAAAGTAGGTTTATCCGGTAGCCGACAGGCGTTAGCGGCATTCGCGAATACAAGCTCCTTTATTTCATAATTTGGGAAATATATATTTTCACAATATTGAAATAGATGATGGTTCAAAGTGGAATACATATCATACAAGTGTCACAGATATTTTTAGTGCATATATGGTCTGTCTTTGCATGACTTTGTAGAACATATCAAAACCCTGGGATCCACAGGGTAACAGTAAGTACATTTCGTTAGATCTTCCGAAGTTCATGCTTCAAAGTTGTCAAAGTTGTAAAAGGGTAATCCTTTTTTGAGTACGAAAGCGTACTTTTTGTTCAATAGCCTTTCCCAGCTGCTAATCTTTTGAGTGCATCGTGCATTCAACGAATTGTATTCACTTATTAACCAATCAGTGCCAGGCCAGGAACAAAATGCACGCTTACTTTTTGGGCTAAGTTTAGTGTTTTATGAAGCATGCTACATACAAATGTTACGCTTTTGCTCATTTACTTTGAGAACTATCTATAGGTACACATTACCAATTGACTCCTAGATTTGAGTGAACAAGTACCTCGTATTTTTCATTTTTCGATATTTTGAGATTTGTTGGCTGATGAGTAACTTGATATTTTATGTCTAAATATATTAAAGTGGTTAATAGTAATAGTTTTATTGTACACCATAAACTGTTAACGTTTTAGAATTGGGACACAATATATGATTTGATAATAGAACAATACATGTATATGTCTTACTCTAAACTCGGTGGTTTGTTTGTTAGTATGTTTTCTTAACAGCTCAATAACTGTTGTATTAATAAGGCGTTATACTATGAAAAAAAGATTGAACGATGTAGGCATAGGCAGAGGGAGTATCACACTACCCTACCACGTGAACACATTTAAAAAGAATACAGGGTACAGTTAAGTTGCAAATAGAGCGGGTATTCTTTGTCCTTTTCCATAGGACTTTTCTGGTGATAGTGCGTTGCAAACTGCTCGATGAATCTATACAATGTAAAATCTAGTATTCCTCCAGAACTATGGAAATAAACAAAGGTCCTCCATTTGCAACTTCACTGTAGCCTGTATTCCTTTTAAAGAAATACGGGCTACAGTATTGGGGTATAGTAGTTTGATTTTTCAATATATCACTAATCTAGCTTCTTTCCTTGAAAAAACATGAGTTTTGATGTACGTATATCAAACATGGGCCACTGCACTATATTGAACCAGGGTGCCGGTGTTACATAATGTGATTTTATGGGCCATCATACAACCACCTCTTGCCCACTTTATTCATGTTTTGGATTACAGTTTATACACAATGCATAAACAGCATGAAACAATCATTTCTACTTGTGGATTATATTTGTATACATCTCTTTGTGAACTGAGTGTTATGTTCAATATGTGAAAATATCATGGACTTAAATTGTACTTATATTTATAACCTGACCACATTTGCATATGTTCAACAACTGACTGAGTGATCGAGTTCATCAAACAATGTTCGTAATAGAGGTCATGAACTTTGCTTTATTCATAATCCTATTTCTGCAACTGACTCATATTATGCATCTTATTATATAATATTATATGATTTATTTTGATTAGCAGTGTCTCATAAGCCATTGGTGGCTCGAGGCTTTTTGGATGATTGTACAGATGTATATGTATGAAATTAAGCATGCGACACTTAAATAAAAAACAATACAATATTAAGCTTATAAACTTGCTGATCATATGATTTTAATATTTTAATACTACATGATACTCATATCAAAATACCAATGTATTTGTGAACAACTCTTACGTTTGATATTGTACGAATTTTCTGATTTGCTGTAGTAGTCGTAAATGCAACATATAACAATGTTATGTTACTTTGTGTCATATGAAAAATAAATTCGTACAAAGATGAGTTTTATTTCGTTTGTTATTCAATGTAGAATACACGTTGTACATTATTTCATGTATAGGATATTGACAATAATCAGACTATCGTATTACAATACAGAAGAATAAAAGAGATAATGATGCATTCTAATTTGAGATTGACATGCGTAAAGGTATCAATATTTTATCTAGTATTTCATTTTATCCCTCCCATCCCATCCCACCCGCTCATCAGCAATCCCCAGAAAATTCGTTCGGTGCTTTTAAATGTTAATAGTTCGGTTGAGTTTTAAAAATAAATCTTAAGCACTTTAAATCTAGATAAAATATTCATGATTTGATTGTGATTATCATTTCTAATTATTACATGACGGTTCCATTACATTCAATGCGTATCTAATCCTCATAGTTTATACTCGATTTTCGACAGGTAAAGGTAATATATCAACCCTCGGTCCCTACTATTTCTCGTGTAGATATATTGCATAACTTTCTCAGATATATCCTGTATATTAAATACATTAAATAACATTATATATGTTAGTCTCAGCCTAGACAGTATATATATCAATTTTATTGGATAATGCCATGGGCTTTCCCACGATAATGCGTAAATTCGAATGAACTTGAAATGAAATTCAACATCCAAAATGTGTTAATTTGATCATCCACCGTGTAACTAAAAGCATATTCATGGCCTATTTGCCTTAAAATACGATTGTGATTATGATTTCGAATTCTGTTCTCCATATGTAAAATCTAGAAACATAACATAGTTAAGTTACACGAAATTCAGCCAACTTGAACATGAAGTCTTGTCATTTTACTTAATCGTTGATTGATTTCTAGGTTTATTAGAATTAAAAGAACGAACGTTTCATCAAACGAGTCCTATATTCAATATCTATTCGTTGGGCCCATTCTTTAAATGTAACTATATTCTTTTAACTTTAAAAGTATCTGTTTACCTTAACATATATTCATTATTTTTATCCGCACAACAGTATCAAACGTTAATGCACAACTAGCCATGCCAAGACATGGCCACTACCCTCGTCCAAAGTAAAATACAAGGTCCTCATTCTTTAATGATTATGTTTCAATTGATTTAGTTTAGTGATTTAAATGTAGGAAAATGAGTCGCTGTGATGTCATATCTGGCGCAGCAATTTCAGAGTCACTGCAAAAAATTGAAACATCAGTCGGATCATAAGACTAAATAAAAAAGCTATTTAGGGATGAATAACATTCGGTGAAATCCGTGATATCGTTATGTCATTCGTTAATTGTCAAAGCTGCGCCCATTTCTCGGTGCAGGCAGATATAAGGCGGCCAGACTGGGCATACACAAAATGTATTGTATGTGCTCCTTAGGTTGCACTCGGGTGCTATCAACATCGAACACACATACGTTTAAGATACACAGAGATAATTAAGGGATGAGTGACAAAGGGATGTTAAAAACAGGTGGCTATTGCAATTGATATTTTAATGTAACTTTAGTATGTAAGAATCTTTTCATCAATAAAAATAACATCTTAGATATTACAGCTACATGTACAATGTGAGTGTATTTAAAAATGTAGTACATAGCTAGTTCCATCTATAAAGATGTCTGATGACAAAAAGCTCAATTTTCCTTGATGTCGTGGTCAATGGGACTTTAACACGTGAACTAATGTTTTTTATTTTTTTGTTTTAAAGTCACTTATAGCAAACCTAATCTAACAATTATCTCACTATATGCTTATGACATATTCATGTATACGTTGTTTGTCTTTTTTTTAAATCAACCCACGGAAATATGCAATACACCAAGTTAAAAAAGTGGTACGAATCATAAAAGCGACGTTGGGTGTTTCACTAGTAATTTTTATATGAAAAATCTAGAAATATTACCCAAATTAAACTATGACTATTCAAAAGAAGACATTCAAATCTGTATTATGTAAAAAAATCAAATTTGTCCGAAGCAGGGATAACGCTCAATTAGAGTGACGAACTTTGTTCTCCAAACCGAGAATGGTCTTTTATGAAAAAAGTTATGAAAACACATCACCAGATCATGTAAAGCTGTTTTACCTTAAAGATCGTTTTATCTTCACCCTTCGATTGGATTTCATGAAAAAATATTTTTATGAAAAAATAGGATTTGTAGGATATCGACGCTCTAACATGTAGTTTTAATCACACGCAGGTATCTGGTTTTATTGCGTGTAGAATGTATAGATATCAGGACCGCTACATGCCAGTGACCTTGCTCCTTTCTGTCGTATTAAAAAAGCAAAAATAACATATCACGGTGGGGTGCGAACCACTCGCCTGGGACTTGGTTATTCACTAGTACCATAGGCGTTCATCTATTCTGGATACAACTGACGAGTTGTATTTACGTGCAGTCAAAAGTGAAGATCATTTTGAATTGACGCTCGGTATAAATATATAATACTTTTATCCTTTCGTATCGGTTGCACGTTAGCCTCATGGCTAACGTGCCTAGCTTCCATGCTCTAGGTTAGTCGATCGAGACCCGTTCATGGCGAATTTTTTGATTTGCTTGTTGTAAAGATATAATAAGTAGGGCAAAATCCAGAAAAAGTAGATCAAAAATACTCCAATGGAGTATAAAATTGTCACCAGGATTCCGAAATGAGACGAATGTAAACTCGTTAAATCTCGGTAGATGAAGTAGGTCAGAAAATCCGGATTAATCCGAACAAGGTTCGGAAATCTTCGTCATAAGAAGTAGATCAAAAATACTCCAATGGAGTATAAAATTGTCACCAGGATTCCGAAATGAGCCGAATGTAAACTCGTTAAATCTCGGTAGATGAAGTAGGTCAGAAAATCCGGATTAATCCGAACAAGGTTCGGGAATCTTCGTAATAAGAAGTAGATTAAAAATACTCCCAATGGAGTATAAAATTGTCCCCAATATTCCGAAATACGACGAATCGAATCGGCAAACTTCGGTAAAATAATGAAGTGCATAAAAACCGAAATGATCCGATGAACGTTCGGATAAAATCGTGAACAGGTGTCAGGGGTTTCCCCTCATCTTTCCCCACATTGTTCTAAAAGCCTTATATGGATTTATCACGTAACATTCAAAATGACGTTCCTATATGGTTCTATGGGTTCGAACACGTGACCAAATGTACCAAATAAAAATTTTACCTTGACCACTGGATGGGATTTCATAGAAAATATCCAAGAAAACCTATCCTCGTGATCCTTAAATCACTTAAATTCGATCATTTTATTTTCACCCCTTGATGGAATTTTATGAAAGAAGTCATGAAAACACATCATCATGTAAGGGTTTTCACCTAAATTAGCTCGTTTTATCTTGAGCCTTCAATTGAATTTCTTGAAGAAATATTTTATGAAAAAATATCATCATGTTATGATTTGTATTTAAATAAGACCGTTTCATCTAAATACTTGGATAATATTTCATAAAAAATGCACTTTTAAATTTTTCAGAATTTGCCTTAATTTATCAATGTAATGAAAGTATAAGATTAACTCTCAAATAGCGTTCTATTTTAACCTTTTTATTGAAATCAATACAGGACTCGCTCTCTAAATATCCAATAAAAATTCAACCCTTGGATGTGATTTCGTTGGGAAAAAAATATGTCAAGTCCAGAATCAAATGATTTGTCCAGAACCTCTTAAGATCCTGTTATGGCAATCAGAACGCTATATCACTCTACCATACCCAGCCCCTAGAAATGCATAAGATACTCTGTTTGTCTAATTGTATTGTTTAGTATATTTTTGCAAGTACCTTATTAACATCTAACAGTCTTCCGATAAACCATTCATAAGGAACAGACTAATAAAAACAAATAACATAATCATTACTATTAAGCCAAATGGGTTGCTCATGAACACTAAATGCAAGGTATAGTAGAGTGTACATGTACAGTATATATCTATTGGGATTTCACATTGAGCACCAACACATCTCCTTCGCGGTTCACTTCCAGGTTAAACATTCCACATTCCTTCTTCATAATCTCAAACAAATATTGGACGTCCTTTTCATCGGCTCGATTCACCCTCAGCTTCTTTATTTGTGTAGGCACCATCTTCAACTCTTTCACCTCGCCACTGTTCACATCGAACTTGGCGAAATACATAAGGCTAAGGTCATGTCTAAACATAGTGTAGTCACTTCGCCCTATGCCTTCATAGTCATTTATAAAATCACCGGCGCCATAGAGGATGAGCTTTCCATTGTATATTTCAACTGCCTTTGGGTGGTGGGACGAATGACCATGGATGACATCAATATTGCATGTATCGATCAGATTATGAGCAAATTGCTTGTGTTCTTTCTTGATTTCGTAACCCCAGTTGCCACCCCAATGTACGGACATAACTGCGATGTCGCCAGGTTTCTTAATTCCATTCACCTGCTCACGAATCTTCGTTAATTCTGCCTCCGAACCTACATCAACATAATTGACACCACTTTGGCTTTTCTTGGCTTTCCACGCTACTGGTATACCACTTGAACCATCGCCAATGCCAAATACCAAAATCCTACCTTTCTTGTGAGGAACATCAATGATAGCTGGTTTGCGCGCATCATCAATGTCATTTCCCGCCCCGCAAGTGCGCAAGCCGGAGTTTCGTAATACTTTCAGTGTCTCATCCAGTCCGCTATAACCCCAGTCAATCACGTGATTATTAGACAATACGCAGCAATCGATGTTGGCGGATGTGATAACGCCTACATTACTAGGGTGCATCCGATAATTGATACCCTTGTATGGCCAGGGTGTTGCACTTGTTGTCACCGATGTCTCCAAGTTAATTATCTTCACATCCGGCTGTTCTGATGCCAAAATATCAATTGCGTCTCCCCATACATAATCCACTTTTCTTTCATCTTTAGGTGGAAGGGGGCCATTAGCTCTGATGGCTAATGTAACATAGACATTAGCATCTTTGACGTAACTCTCGTAAAGTTTAGGGTCACATGACATGGAGAGAATATTGTCTATCCCTCGTCCAAGCATGACGTCACCGACCATGAATACCGAGATGTTTTGGGACGTTCGCATAACCGTAGAGTCGGTGCCATAGAGCTTTCTGTACGACCCTACGAGTAAAAAGAACGGAACATTATAGGTTGCTTTTGAGACCCATGTTGTGATATTTTGCAGATATTTTGCAGGCGTTTTTCACTTCAACCTTTTTGAGTAATTTTGATTAATGGTCTTACTAAGGAACGATCACAAAGCAAGAAAAATTGCATTGTTTACTTTATTTGAATTTATAGAATTTCAGAACATAATTTATGTTGGACACTACATAAACCTTGAAGTTTGCATTCCCAGTTTTAGGTCAAGAGAGCATCTTGATTCTCAAGATTTTAGTTGCTTTAGATGTCAAGAAAGGTCCTTAGTAAAATCACGAACCTTGGAAATATTCCTACCATAGATGCATCCATTACAAATCGAGACAGTCAAAGCATCAATCCATCAAGTATATTTAAAAAAATCTTGCAAGATGAATTAATAATAAGAGAGCCGTAATCAAAATATAATATGGTAATATGAATGTAAAAAAGATTGATTCAACTGCTTTTAAGGTCAATTTGGAATTCTTTTGATGGTAATAATTCATTCACTCAGCCTCTAAGTTGCAATTATACACGACTCATTAATATTTGGGTTGAAACTTTTAGCTGTTTAAATGTACTTTTGAGTCAATTGTTACCATACACAAGGTCATATATTGGTCATAGAGAAAAAGCCTTTAGGATTGCACATCCATTACTGTACAGTATTTATTCAGAGTGGATATATCCACATGTAAATTAGTAAATAAGTCATGTACAGAAGTGGTTTTGAAGGGAAAATGTACATAAGTTTGATTACTTAATTGAAACAATATATAAAACTACTTAGCATAACAAGACAAGCCCTCTAGTGTCATCTATATAAGTCCTAAGATTTCAATATATCATGATGTAGTTTAGTGTACAGCGAGGAAAAGCAGTGAATTCAGAGTTTTGCTCAGTTTCATCCGGGCAATTCGCGAGACTTATCTAATCAGAAGTTTCATTTTTGAGTGCCATTTAAAATAAATTTGCTGTCAGGAAATATTTATATCTCCCCTTGGTCCCTTCGGTCCCTCTAGGAGATATAAATATCCCTCGGGATATATCCTATATCCAAATCCTCCCAGTACATAACCCTTATATATCCACTCATGAATATTGCCCATCCGATATCCACTCATGGGTAAAAATGATATTCCTCAAAAATCCTTAAGATATCCTCTATAGCATTGTTAATATCGATATTACTGCATTTATTACTTTTTAAATTGATATTCATTTTAAGTTTAGCAGCATTACAATTCAATAAATCCAAATGTTCAATATAATCAAGGTTGTACATTAATTTTATAATAAATTGCAGGTATTTTTGCTAAGAAAACCACGAAATAAATTATTCACTTGATAGTTACAGCATTAAGTAACTTCATTATGTTTATAATAAGTGTTTGATCTCGCCCCACTTGTCCCCTTTCTCCAACTTTACATCTAGTTGAAATATTGTTGCACATTACTTTTAAAACCTGCAATATTTGTTAATACATTTTTACATTTACATAGATAAATATATTTTTTACATATGCAAAAAATTGTGTTTAATAGTATTGATTTTTCGTTCATGATTACTGGACCCACTATGATAGTTCTCAGATCACTTAAAAGGATAGTCCCTCTTGTAACCATTTCTTAATATCACCCTGCAATTTGTTTGCCAATTCGCAATGAAGGAGTAAGTGGCAAAGAGTTTTGACTTGGTTTCCTGGTATATCATACAGGTCTACATGTACTTGGTCGGCGCTGTTGATGTAGTATAATTCAAGCATTATTTGCTCACCAATACATTCATCAATACATTTCCTTCATAATTTATTCTGTACTTTAAGTACTACAAAAGTTATTCACTATTAACAAATTCTTACCATTTGTTATCCCGCTCATTTTTGGCACAAGTCTCTCTCTGGGGCATGTGTCTGTTCGATCTTGTTTTATCTTTAGTGATTGGTACAAAGTGTTCAACGCATGGGGCCTTTCTTCCGCTTTGGAGATACTCAGTATGCAGCTCAATATGAATGTACTTTGGTAGACTTTCGGATTCAAAATCTATAATTGAAATAAGTTAGACTATTGTCAAAATATGTTGATGACAATGGGCGTATTCAAAATTTCCTTTGTACAACTATAACATTGGGAAGTCTAAGAAAATGTTGTTTATGCTATTTTGCATTGTTCAAACGAGTTTCGGAAAGATATTTTATTTCATTCTCAAGAAATGGTAAAAAGGAACAAAAAACAATTGCGATGATTCTCCATATCGATACCAATCCTTTCAAGAAAATGAACTTTTGTGCAAGCTAGTCATTCAAAACTTCTTGTGGAGTTGCTCTGTGAAGCCTAGTTTTGATGTGCTAAAGAACAATTCAGATATCATGTAGAGAAAAAGTAATGCATTATGTGGATGTTAAAGCTAAGGAGGGGAGAACATATTTATTTGACACCATGTAGATTTCAAATATGACATCATTGAATTTTGAACATTTAATCATGTGACGTAAATCAAAATTATTCCTACTCGCATGTAGTCTAGACAACTCATCCTAAACGTTTTTGAAATTCTGTTGAGATATTGTAAATCGACGATTTTGTTGTTTTCTGAACTATTTGTTCACAAACATATATATTTTCTGAGACATATGATACTGACACACATTTGTGATAAAAATGTTGATGAAATTCTGTCTACTGCTGGTGAAATAAGGAAGAAGTACCTTTGAGGCTCTGATATTTTGTTACAGAAACGATCCGTTTGAATAATATATGAATATAACATTAAATTACTCAAACATGCTAAAGGATGATTAGGGGATGAGTTGTCCGGGGGATGAGTTTTCCAGGGGATGAGTTGTCTAGGGGATGAGTTGTCCGGTTACCGGGAAGATAAGTCTATAAAGGCATCTGTCAAGGTAATGCTAAGGACGATAGAGATGCCTAAATAACCCAAGAAGTATTGTTGCTGTTCACAGGCCATTTAGGACCAGGTTCCAATACCCACTGACTAGCTCAGTCTAGGACCACAGGTCTGCAGGTGCTCCATGGGTAATAAAGAGTCCGTAGAGTATGAGCTAGGCCCAGAGGCAGAGTGACCCAGTTTTATTACCCAGGGAGTACCTGTATCTAGGACAATATTCTCTGGCGTGTTCAACACTCCCTTTGTACCGAAATAGATCGGCTTCCATGTGCGCATATTATGGAGTAGAACATGTACATGCCCTAGATTTATAAAAACTTCATCCAGTCCGATGTACGTGACAAAGTACAAAAAAGAGGTAAGTCTGTGTGAGCTTACTCCCGTCGAGAGCTACTTAGATTTTGAAAGTATAGCTCTCTATCGCTAGAATCAACAGCTTAAGAATCCTGACTTCAAAGAAAATTTCAGGGAATTCAGCTGCCTCATGTTGCACATTATATACCTGAAAATGTATCCTACATCGCCATCTTTCATTCAGCTCAACTATAGAACGTCTCACTGCCCTATGTATCGATCAGGACTTCATTTTATTGGTCGTGTCAAAAGTTTTGGCCAGGTATATTCAATATGGCGGCTTGACGTTTCCCAAGTTGCGCATGCGTCGATAGTATTTCCGTTTAACCGCCATATTGGAAATGGGTATCGAACAAAAAACGATTAGAACTCCTGATCGCCATAGAAGCACATCCGCGAGCGATCCTACATGCACGGGGAAAGTAGACACATATGAGCCCATATGTAGGCTACAGTTTGAGACAAACAGCAAGCCGCTGACTGGCGCTGATCAAATCTAGATGTCACAATTCTTCAGCTGGGAGATCCTCACGATGGAGAGCTATACTTTCAAAATCTAACATGGTAGCTCTCGACGTGAGTAAGTATGAGCTATTTTCAGACTTCACTCGATATTAAACCACTATTTTAAGATGCTTTACATTATGTAGACAATTCTTAATACAGTATTTGTCATACCCTTGATCTCATTATACAAAGGAGCTCCGATGAGTGATGAATTCTAGATAGAGTACCAATATCTTCGTCATCTTCCTCTTTGTTTACTTCCTGCTGGATTACGCTTTTACACATAACGAAATACAAGAAGACAACCAGACTGATAACTGCGTGTACCGGGATTACCAAGTTTTTAAAGTAGAGTAAGGAGGGGTTTGTGGAAAATAAAATAAAAAAGATCGATATACCCTATGGAGATTCTTGGTTTTTGGAAAGCTCTGCATCACCATCCGCCTCGGTTTCCACATAATGGAAAGTTCTGGAAATGGTCCCGTTGCCTTAGAAACGGACGCTGAATAAAAATTTTGCTTAAAGATTTTATCTATGCAAACGTTTATTTCCCAAAAGCGGGCCCAAATTGTGAAATTTTGAGGCCCATTTTCTTCAAATTTTGACCTGAAATTAAAAAATAAGTCCTTAAAAAGCCCAGTAATGACCAAAAGGCTCACTTTTTTGGGCCTCTAAATCTTCAAAAAAAATGTTTAAATGAAGTTGTTATTCACAAGTGGACTTTGAAACTCTTGATTGCTCTGCTATTATTTACGTCTTAGCACGAACTTGTATGATATTATGGAGCCTACTTTTTCGAGGAGGGCACTTTGACCGCATAAAATGTCATACCAATACGGTAAATATCACCTACATGTATCATCTACATCACATTATAAGCATGCCAATGTTTTATCACAAGGGTGCTATATTGTGATCAATTGGTGGGCAGGCGACTACACGGGCGTCCCTATTAATTTGGTCCACGCGTTTTCATGCAAGCCGTTAGAGGGAATGAATTCAGATTTCCATTTATATTTCTTATGAAACTCTATAGATTTTGGGTGGTAATAGGGCAGCCTTTTGGATTTTCCTTCCTTAGAACTTGTCAGTAAACTCTTGTCCACAAATTTCAAGCCAACCCGTTTGTTAAGTCGAATTGAACTTTTATTGATGCTTCTTTGTGTAAAATTTAACGAGTTTTTTGGGCATTTTAGATAGATATTCGATACGTTAAAAACGCCAAACCGTTTTATAGATCAAAATTTTTAGCGATGCTTCTTCGTATGAAAGTCTACAATTAATTAGACTTAGGGCATTCTGGTCAAAGGTCCATGTGCAGTATGGCAAGTGATTTTAGACAGTCATATTTTTCACCATGTGTACTTTCTGGCCATAAATACAGTGGTTTTTATTAAACAATATGTTTTCTTTCAAGTGAAGTCCACATGATAGTGAAATATCAATCCAACGCTCTGAAAAATTATGGTTAAGGACCCTATCTTGGCACTTTTTAAAAAATGTTAGGCTTATTTTCTAAAACTATTCTCAATTTTATCATATCGAAAGTTTCTTCTACACTATATTACAGCTTCTGAAATGGAGATTGGTATTGAAATGCGTTAAATTTAGAAACCAAATATCTCGTGTAAGAAAAGACTCGTTCTATCCATTGTTTACAACATAACCAGTTTGGACTCTCCGTCTTCCAAAAAAATTTGTTTTAAGTCATGTCAACCCGTTTAAAATCTTCTTGTTATTAAAATATACAACTGATATGCTTTTGATCCATTCTATGGTGACATTCTATTCAATGGTGTGCTATTGTTGACCTCGTGTCTTATTTTAACTTCTTACCGACCTTGGGGTTAGGCAAACTGTAGCTGCTCAGTTTATACTGACACTGTCTAGCTTTACAAAGGCCGGGGAGATATATATTGTATAATGGATGAATCACCCGGAAATGATTCAAAATACGAGAAACAAGCGCATCTGATGGATGAAGAATCGGAAAATACGAATAAAGATGATTCGAAAGATAAACGTCCTGAAGATGTTACAAATGAGGACAAAGCTACGGTTCTGGAAGATAGTCCTAATACCGTAAGATTGCGTGGTATTAGACTTCAACTTGAAGCAGGGATCTTGTGGCCTAATTTCTGGCCTAAGCGACAAATGTTAGGGCTGGAGGATTCCACAACTTGGGCCGAATGGTTGGAGGAAGCTTCGCATTTTAAAGTTAGACCCGATGACGTTTTCATTGATTCTTACGCTAAGGCAGGTAGGATTGAAAATAGGTGTCAAACGTTTATTAAATGTTCTCTGTGTTCGATTAAGGGTACAGTATTTGCATTTGATTAGGATACTTTACTCAAGGAAGCAAATACAAATACCGGTGTTTGTCCAGGTTTTAATTTAAGTAATTATAGAATATCGTCCATAATAATTACAAATTCTCCTACATTTCTATGAGCTTTCGTGCAGATTGATGATATCGGATTATAAATGTGACCTTGACCTCTAAAGCTTTGACCTTCACGATCCTCGACCTAGTTCAATTCGATGACCATTCAAGTACGCTATACTACATTTATACTTACGTACTCTCACGCTCACATTCTCACAAGGATAAAGGCGGAAACTGAGATGAAGTCGAGTAAAGATGAAAGAAATCTTAAGAATGGGATTTACTGTTTTCAGGCCACCATTGGACATACGAAATTATGAGTCAACTATAGGCAGGTCCCAATGGTAAAAGCACATCGACTAACAAGTTTGATGCATTCTTTGAATGGCGTAGAATATCAGTGTTTGACAATCTGCCGTCCCCTAGGTTGATATTGACACATTTACCATTTCATCTGATGCCTAAAGAAGCATTCAAAAAGCCCTGTAAACATATTTATCTTGTACGTAACCCAAAAGACACTGCTGTTTCATTTTACAATCACACAAAGGGTCTTAAGGTATTGGACTATGACGGCACTTTCTCGGACTTTTATGAATCGTTTATCGAAGGCGAAGGTTTGTGTTTTTTTAGTTTTCTTTCGTATAAAGAAATGAATTATGAGAATAACGTACCTAAAATGTGAAGGATTCCATTTTGAAACGGGGTACGTTTGCAAATAAACATCTAGCTTATGCACGGTTGGTGATCGTGAAAATGGGACGGAGGGGGGGTGAGCAAGCAATTTCTGGTAGAAAAATGAACAAGTCTGCAAAAATTATTTTTTCAAGAAAAGGTTTATGATTTAATTGCTAAACGAATAGGCGCACGGTATGGTAAAATATGTCACGTATTCTACGAATTTTTTTTAGCCGATTCTCTTCTTAGGTATAAGATCTATTGAAAAAGGCGCAACGCCACCAACGTGCAAAAGTCAATATTTTTGCTTCAAATCAAGCATCAATGGTCTACACAACCTGCAATAAATATTTGTAAGTGACATTATCATCATAAAATTAATGACTTTACAAAATACGTTTCCATACGTTGTATAAAAAATAATCGAAAATAATTAAAATGGGGCGGAGGGGGGAGGGGACGGAGGGGGGAGCAAAATGTCTATACGACATGATGAGAGATGTTACTTCACTTTATATCCAAATTTTCCCATTTTCTCCTCAATTACAATGGGTTAGGAATTGATAACAAGTTTTATCCTACACTTAGTGTACTAAATGTATAATAACATGAAAAAATAAATTTGATATTTATTGGCAAAATGAATATACGGAGGATATCGTAACGATATACTCCGGGCGGAGGATATCGTGACGATATACTCCGGAAAACCCAGTATGCGGAGGATATTGTGACGATATACTCCGCTTGTTGATTTCCCGCCAAATTGACTCTATTTGGCATGGAATTAATTTTACAATGATATTATACATTCAGTACACTCCTTGTAAGTGTAGGATAATAAGAACATCCTATGATTTTTTCAGAATATCATTTTAATCTACTCGGTGATATTGATATATGCACTCGTTCGCTTCGCTCTCTCGTGCAGATATCAATATCACCTCGTAGATAAAAATGATATTCCTCAAAATCATAGGATATCCTATAAGTATTTCATATTTACTGAGGTTCTAGGTACATAACGAGCGGGAATATATACTGTATCTAGCCAAGGCCCGGGGCGGGATGGGTACACGCTGTATCCATCCCGGTCCCGCTCTTGAAATTTTTTTTCACAATTTTTTCAATTTTTTTTTCAAATTTTTTTTTGAATTTTTTTCACATTTTTTGGCAAAATTTTAAAAAAAAACTTTTTCACATTTTTTTCAAAAAATTTTTTTCACATTTTTTCAAATTTTTTTTTCAAATTTTATTTTTCAAAATATGAGTTATATGAGTTTGAAAATCTCACAAACTTAAAAAAACACTTTATAACACCAAGAAAATGCGTATCTTAAGTATATTTTTGAATTTTGGAACTTTATAGGGTATATATCGTACCTAGAACATCAGTAGGTATGAAATACATCTGTTATGTACGGTCGGTTTTGGATACAGAGAGCGTTTATCTTTTTATGTGTATAATAGTTTTTATTTTTTGAAGACTTATCATAAAAATGTAGACATCGCATCATATTTTTATTTGGACATGCACGTTTTCGAGTAAGCAGTTACTAAAGTTGTTTCATTATTAACCTAATTATACAACGTATGGAAACATATTTTGTAAAGTCATTACGGTCATTAATTTTATGATGATAATGTCACTTACAAATATTTATTGCAGGTTGTGTAGACCGTTGATGCTTGATTTAAAGCAAAAACATTGACTTTTGCACGTTGGTGGCGTTGCGCCTTTTGTTAATAGATCTTATACCTAAGGAGAGAATCGGCTAAAAAAAATTCGTAGAATACGTGACATATTTTACCATACCGTGCGTCTATTCGTTTAGCAATTAAATCATAAACCTTTTCTTGAAAAAATAATTTTTGCAGATTTGTTCATTTTTCAGAGGTGAAGGTTTGTGATTTCCAAGATTAAATTGTACCAAAAACTGAAAGCGGCAACAGTACCTCACATTTTTCAATGTTTCAAAGCATTATTGACAACATATGTTGCCACAAAGAAAACGAAGAATCGTGTAGCCTAAAAGAGCATTTTCATAGGTTAAAAAGTATAAATGATACATTTTGTCATCATACATCATGGCCGAAAGTATGACAAGTAGAACGATTAACTCAGTATTTGAAATGTTCGTTTCGGCCATCGTACAATGCTTATCATAACAAATTGTGTTGTATGTTGTAGTCGAGTACTCCTCGTGGTTTGACCACGTCACCACTTGGTGGAAAGGAACAAAGGACAATCCAAATGTTTTGTGGATACATTACGAGGATCTTAAAAAGGTAAATTCATGTGGGAAACCCTCGTGCAATATTATCAGTTATCACACGTTTCAGCATGTGATACAGGAAATATTCCACGAAAGGTAATACTGTATCATCCACGAAAGCGAAGCTTGAGTGGTGATACATTGTTACCCGAGTGGAATATTTCCTGTATCACATAAGCTGAAACGTGTGATGACGATTTTATCACATGTCTAGGAATTTTGAATCATTTTGATTTGGTCAGTTATGATTGTGTTCAGTACTTCTGGTAACTACTATAATTTTTGATTTCGCTTTGAAACAATATGACGTCATACCGTTGTATTCGTACTTGTGTGTGAAATAGTATGACGTCATATTGTTTTCCTTAGCTAGAAGTGATATAATCAGTGACGTCACATCGTTGCTATTGATCATCACTGGTTGCCTCTAGTAACGTGTGAGACGGCCGTGTGAGACGGGAAAACTCACACGGTAATCAACCAATCAGATTACTGGAATTTTACAGAGCATGTGATAAATTTAGTTTCTCATATAATTATATAATTTCTGAAATATCGTGTCATGTCGGATCTGATTAAAGATTCATTGGGATAAAAAATTCCCTTATCCTAGGGAATTCCCCAACGATACAAAAGGTTCACCTTAGTGTCATAATATTTATAACAATACTCGTTTACCTGAAAATACCTTACTGCTCGAAGGTTTGACAATTTGTCATCTAGAAAGCTATAAATGTAATTCGTCAGTCGTCATAACTGTTTTACAATGCCTTCAATGCATACCAAATAAGATGAAAGATCTCTTCTCCATTTTAGTGTCACTACAATTGTGACACTATCAGTGGTGACATATTTTTTAGCAACCGGCGGCCGTATCAGATCTCAACACGAATTTGCAAAAACTGTTTTTAATTGAGATAGACATGTTATGATTCCATCCCAACAATATTGGCAATATCTGTTTGCAAGATTCAAGATTCAAAATTTTATTGTGTTTCAAGCCAAAACAATTCCTTCACATAAACAATTCCAAGACATAATTATAAAGTTATACATTTATGTATTACATACCTAGCGAAGCATTTGTATGGAAGTCAATGGGAAAGTTAGCGAGCTATATCCACCGATATTGCCCGATTACCCTGATATAGCCCGCTTACCTCGTTTTGATATTAGATTTCTTTAATAACCATGATAATATCATGACGTCACGTCATTGATACAAAGTAACCATGGGAACAAAGGCATGTAATACATCAGTTATGTCACTATGACGTGAAATATGCCTTCGTTCTTGCCCAAATATAGAGCCTCCCAAGGTCGGCCTATATTGGGAGAACTCAGGCATATTTCACGTCATAGTGACATAACCTCTAAATATAATGCATTGTTAAACAAATATTTAAATATGACTATCTTACAAACTAGTTTATTCCTTTTTCAAATAGCTCTAGACGTTGATCGAAAAGTTAATTTATAAATTGCATCAGTTCGTTTTCATCTTCGTAATCATCTGAAATCATTAAAACTTAAATATTTCTTCATCCACTTGGATTGTTAAAATAATTATATTTGCAATTTTTATAACCATCGCATAAAAGAAGAAAATGCTTTTCATCTTCCACTTCCCCCTATTGCAAATTTTGACCACAAATTCTGTCTTTACTTAAAGTCGATTATGTTTAGAACCATCTTTTTTCTTTCTCACGTGTCTCACTGTCTCACTATGGCTTGCTAATCTAAACCTGGCCATTTTAAAAATTAACATTTTGTTCACATTTCAAGTTAAATATCTTTCAAGTTTGTAATCATTTTTCACATAATTTCTATTTTCTCTCGTGTTTGCATGGGACGGGGGAAATTAAATGGGGACTTCAAAGGGAAAAATTGCCTGACGTGAGATTTTACAATGAACTTAATTATAAAGACAAACGTTCGTGAGTTTAAAGGCAGGGATTCCTTACCATGTGGTAAATTAAACTACAACCCAATTTTGATGCAGATTATTATATAACTGCTGTAACAGTTTTATATATCAATTTACATTTTCAAGCCAGATAGGAAATACTATTTAAATTTAAAACCATCATCAGATTCAGAATATATTCATGAATAATTGTGACAAAGTTTAGCTGATTCCGTGCAAAAATACTAGAGATATATGGAAAAACAGGTCTGAGGTGTCAGATTCTGTGAACATTTAAATTTTCAAACATCCTATTACATCATTTTCTAACTGACATTCTGCTTTTATAGTGGAGCCCTGCCTTTAAGCATATAATTGGCAACACATATTACGATACCTACGAGTTGACATAAATCATGTTAATGCCTTGCTAAAGTTTTCTCTGCAGTGCATTTTAGTAGCCTCACCCTTTAACGCTACTTTTTTAATTTTCTCAAAATAAAATAATTCTTTTTTGTCAACAAAAACCAAATTCTCGACGAGAATACAATCAAATTTTGTGATATTTTATTTGGTTTCGTGTATGTTAAAGATTGCCATTGACATGAATTTGTTCTGCATACAGAATCGTATCTACTTATATTATATAACAAAGTTTAAATAGGTTTTCTTTAATATTTAAGGAATTTATACCCATGCTAAAAAAGATGGCTTCCTTTCTTGGGTGTCCAGCAGATGAAAACTTCTTGCAGGAAATTGCAGAAAAGACGAGTTTTAATACCATGAAGCAACAAACCGAGAAATTTGATGTAAAAGAGGCATGGAAAACTAAAGATGGGACTATGTTTAGGAAAGGTTTGAATTAAAATGTTATGAAATTTACTAAAATGGAGGAAGCATTCCTTTAAAAAACACTCGGACAATGTTTTCATTACAATACTAATTTTATTTTCTGAAAAAGATGGCAAAAAATTGTTTTAAACACTTCCCTTATACAAATATCTGAGGGGAGTATTAGAGAGGTGGTTACGTGTATTTTGAAGAGTGTGTGTAAGATTATGAGTCTCCGTTGGTTTATTCACTTATTGGGACTTTCTCGATTGGTCTGTACAGGAATCTGATTACAAATATTTTTCATTTATTCCATAGTTAGCATGATATTCATAGGATAACATGTGAAAATAAAAACGGTATTTTTGTAATCAGTGGTAAAATATGATATTTTTGACAAATTTTCACTTAACCATAGCATACGGTTTTTTAGCCATGACATACGGCGCCGTATGCGATGGTTTATGGATTTTTGCTACTTCGGACTTTCCGACGATTCTGATGATGACTTTAACTATAGAATAAAAAGAACATCATATGATTTACTCATGATATGATTTTAATCCACTCATGGATATTGATATCTGCTACGCTCGCTCGTGCAGATATCATATTCATTCGTGGATAAAAATCATATCACTCATAAATCATAGGATATCCTCTACTTATCTTTATACGATGCGATATATTTATACGATACGATACGATGTACATCATAAGTAAATGCAACGAAGAGGAAAATCACCCGGAGTACCATAATTCTATAGGTTCACATTCTTCAAAACAGTGCTAACATCCATGTCTAACCTCCATATTATATATTGCTTTTAATTACTACCCCGTGATATTTTTATTTATAGGTCAAGTTGGCAACTGGAAAGAACATTTTACAGTGGAACAAAATGAGAGATTCAATAAAGTATATGAAGAGAAAATGGCGGATTTTCCGGACCTTAAACTTCAAATACAATTCACTTAACACAAAGTTGTAGTTGATAAAATTACAAACTCACACGACAAAGTGCTATATAAAATACAAATTGTATTTTTTCTAACTGTACATGTACATCGTCCCTTGCTCCCTGAGCAACTAAAACCTTGCCAATAACCCCACGTTAACGTTTTTACAAATCAATTGATGTACATTATTTATTTTAAAGTAATTCTGTAGGCTAATTCTAATACACAACAATATTAAAAAATAGCTTGGGACAGATGCAAATCTATTTAAATATATATGTACAGGACACTACATATTACATATATTACCGACTCAGTACAACAGGGGACATTTTTAACATTTTATAACGTATCCATGGGCCTCAGTCTATTACTAAACTTAATATCTAATAGTACATTATTGAACTTTAACCTGTATCGATAACGTTTACACACCGGAATAGCCTGACAGCGGTTAAGTCAGAAAACGTTGTCACAAATGGCGGACATATAACCGTTTTTCAGTTAGATTTTCATTAACTGTATGTTTTATAGAGCACCTAGGCTAAATTCATCGGGAACAACAATCAATAAAAGTGTCTTTATACTCATTGTACAGTTAATAATGTTCTATCATATGATTTAACCGATCAAAATGAGATACGGGACAACGGACACTGTATTGCCATATGCCGTTGTCTTTGTAAATTATTTCAAATTCTGATTCTGTTGTCATTGAGGATATCGAAGACGCTATATTTTGGCGATTCACGACCCAATTTGATCAAAATTGGGATTTCATATGATACATCATCATAAGAGCTTAATACATGCACAGAATTAGCGAAGTCCTATGAAATGAGGACCAAGTGATTGAAGAGTTGAAGCGACGGTTATGTCCGCCATTTGTGACAACGGTCATTGACTTTACCGTTGTCAGGCTATTCCGGTGTGGTTAAGCTGTATTTGAAGATTGTAGATATAAATCTCTCATTCTGAGTCGTGCATTAATTAGAAACGGAGTACATTTAGACTAGACGGTAAAATGTAGCTGGAAAAAGTACAAGTATCAAAAGTACAAAAGGAAATGAGAAAAACAATGGAGAGGTCCTCTGTATGCGATCCAAGTGTAGAAAAATCAGCGCAGATGAGGGTCGAAGACACTGCAAGAGAAAATGATCAAGTGGATGAGAGCCGTGTGAATGTAGGCGAAGAAAAACCTGCACAATTGAAGGATTGTGAAACTACAGTGAGAATAGGTGGCATGAGGGTTCAGCTCGAAGCAGGAATCTTATGGCCAAATTTCTGGCCTAAGCTACATATGGTCGGACTTGAAGATTCTACGACTTGGGCCGAATGGTTGGAGGAAGCTTCGCATTTTAAAGTTAGACCCGATGATATATTTATTAATTCATACCCTAAGTCAGGTAGGATATCGAAATATGGTTTAAAATATCTCGCACGATAACGTGTCTCTCTGAACACGCATCGTTTTACTTTATTGAGTTGGCCCATCTTGATTTGCAAGCCTTGTGATATTTTGGACTATTTACTTAAGGTGAAATGTCTACATCCCTGGTCAGAACGCATTTCAATTTATTCCATGAGCTGGGGCAGTAGTGTCCGATCTTGAAAGATGGAATTTCTATCGATCTGATTGCCCTATGTGACAATGTATTTGTTCGAATCATTGAATAACTTAGTTACAGTCTTCTTACTTCATAGATTCGTGCGTAATGTCAAATATATAACTATAAAATAATTCATCTTTTGCTTCCAGGCCACCATTGGACATACGAAATAATAAGTCGACTAACAGCAGGTTCTGGGGGTAGAAATACAACGACTAACAAAATGGATGCTTTCTTTGAATGGCGTAGAATATCAGTGTTTGACAATCTGCCATCCCCTAGGTTGTTATTGACACATTTACCATTTCATCTGATGCCTAAAGAAGCATTCAAAAAGCCCTGTAAACATATTTATCTTGTACGTAATCCCAAAGACACTGCCGTTTCCTTTTACTACCACACAAAAGGCCTCAGAGCACTGGACTACGATGGATCTTTCTCGGACTTCTACGAATCTTTCATCAAAGGCGAAGGTTTGAACTTTTTAGTTTAGCTTCGATTCGTTTTCAGATATATATCGTAAGATGCAGCTAGAATGAGAAGGATTCTATTTTGAATTTCGAAAAGCTAATGTGAATCCTTTTGCAACAGATCCATATCATCAGCGCGTCTCAATCTACAATAGTAGAACAATATTTGCAGGTTATTTTGCCTTGAAAGACCTATATGACACAGGTATATCTTTGGTACGATACCTCATCGTACCAGAGATAATTAGAGTGATGTGGGTTTTGATTTGCTTCTAATTCTGTAGTGTCTAAATGAGCCATGGTTGTTTGTGATTTGCAGTTGAGTACAACTCTTGGTTCGATCACGTTTCCAGTTGGTGGAAATCTACTAAAAATCATCCAAATGTTCTTTGGGTTCACTATGAAGATCTTAATAAGGTAAAGTTAGGTTTTGGATTCGATTGGAGGCGCGATTGTTTTATCGATACTTTTAACAATACCCCTGGCCGGCCTGTTCAAAATTGGATTCAATCAACTACGATTTTCGGTGCCTACCTATTACCAGGATCTGACTCTTGATAGCAGTTTCATTTCATACGAATTTGTCTGTATAAAAGGCAGAATACGATCTAGCTTAGTTGCTTCATCTTGACGAAAATTCTTTCAATTTTAGAATAATTTGGTCTCATATCATTCCTTGTCGTGTTTATTTTCTAAAAAATACCCCAAGTATATACTTTATTTGAAGAAAATTAAAGATTTTTACTAATGAAATGAATTTGTCAATAAGAATGGTTCCATTTTTATCATATTTGGGAGAATTTAAATATTTTCCCAAGATTTTTGCATTTTGAATCTTAAATAACTTCACCAATTGATAGCATATGACGGATCTTTATATTTGAGCTCGTACGTAGGTCAATTGTATACTGCTTGCAATTTTGTCACTCCGTCCCTATAGATCTGATTCTGCCTTAGAGTCCATAAATGAAATCATCTCATGTAAGATCTATGTGATGCGTCAAATCAAGTGGATTATATTCCAGAACTAGTTCTGAATATCAGTTATGCCTCAGTCACATTTGCTTGACGACGAGCGTACGGCAGCCGTAGCTTCACAATATCGATATAGAAAATCTACTAACATTGAAAGCTGCATATTATGGGAAGCTACGACCGCTGCACGGTTGTCGTAGATCAAATGTGACTGAGGCATGAGGTGAAAAACAGACTCAGTGGTCCCCCTGTCGTGTGTATGGGGTCAATTATTCAACCAAATAAATGCACAGTGATCTTGCGATGGGGTTTTTATGAAGGGCATTCATCATTGTGAACAAATAGGGTTTTCTGATGTTCTAGAAATTTATACCTACATTGAAAAAGATGGCGTCTTTTCTTGGATACCAAGCAAACGATAACCTATTGCAGCAAATTGCCGAAAAGTCGAGTTTCAAGAATATGAAAGAACATTCGGAAAAGCATGATTTGAAGGCAATGTGGAAAACAAAAGATGGAACGATGTTCAGGAAAGGTAACTATATAAGGCCCTAACTTATTAATAAGTAAGGAATGCATGGTAAACATTGTACTTTCATTCTGTTCTGGTATTATAACCGCCATCAGCCCCTGAATATTAAGGAATTATTAAACTGGGCTGATCAGTTTTTGGGGTCAGCTTTTGTATCTTAATAATCAATAACATTTTATTTATTTACAGGTCAAGTCGGAAACTGGAAAGAGTATTTCACGGTGGCACAAAATGAGAAATTTGATAAGGTGTATGAAGATAAAATGGCGGATTGTCAGGACCTCCGAGTACAATTTTCTTAACACAACTTAAGATATTAAAACTGATTCAAAAATATGATATTGAAAAGAAAGTATAACAGATGATGATCTAACTTAGATAGATGTCATGGTTGTAGTCGATCCTTTGAGAAGTTCATATTCCCATATTTTTGTGGTATCACTAGACACGACAATTAATTAATCAATATAAATATAATTCTCAAATCGTTCCACGTGTATTTATTTTAAACATATCCCTCATATCGTTCCTCATATCTCTATTTTAAATATATAACTCATATCGTTTCGCATATAAAGTAGTTATTGTAAATATATCACTCATATCGTTTCTCATATCTCTATTGTAAATATATCACTCATATCGTTTCTCATATATTCGTTTTAAATATATCACTCATATCGTTCTTTATATAATATTTTTTCAAATATATCACTCATATCGTTCTTCATGTACTTATGTTAAATATATCACTCATATCGTTCTTCATATATATCTTCAAACATATCAATCACTCATATTGTTCTCCATATACTTATTTTGTACATATCACTCATATCACAACATTTAATCAATTTATCCCTCAAAACGTTATAAGATGTCTTGAAATTCAGATATAATATTATCTACAAAAAAGAACTGTTGAATCTGGATGACAAGGCTCTGATGGACACTAAGAACTGTTTCGCTGAACTCTGAGAGATGTGCCTGTTTACATGATGGAACGTCATAATGGGCCATAATGGTCCAGCATGGGATTTTTATCTACAAACTTAAATTTATTTATTTGGCCATTTGAACAAATGAATGGTCTTTTTCATAATTTGTTATCCATTGTTATTTAGGAATACAAGCATCCAAATGTTTAGCACGTTAGACCCACATGGAACTCCAGGCTGCAAACTTATCAAATCTTACATTATGGGCGCAGACAATATAAAGTCAGACATAGATAGTAGCATTCATCACACAAGCAGTCCCCAATCTGTACATTACACGTATGATTATAAACACGGGTATATACACAAGTAGTGTCACCCGTTTACTACATGCATTTGTTGTTGAAATGTATATGAATAAATAAATAAAAAAAATAAATAAAGTTCACAGAATTTTTGTGTTGAAATTATCTCCAAGTAATATTTCTCATTTAAGGATGGTGTCAAATTATCAACAGATCTGGAATAACGAAGTTAGTGTCTTTAGAGCGGAGGGTAGTGAAAGACAAATCAAAATTTTGAAAGATGAGGAGGGGGTCAAATCATATAGAAATTAACTTTGTTTTTCCACGACTGTTGATAATTGAACACCACACCTTAGTTTAAAGGAGTGGTATCGATATGGAGAACTGAATTCAACAATGTTTTTCTCTTAAACCAATCATTGAAAACATTCTATAAAAACACGTTGTTTTATGTAATGTTGACTGATTGACAACAATTTTAAAGCGAAAAAAAATCTAGAAATAGTTTATATAACTGTTTTTGTTAACTTTTTTTTAGTGCAATTGTTTTGCTCCTTTCTACCAATTCTTGAGAATGAAATAAAATGTCTTTCCGAACCTTGTTGAACAAAATAACATATTATACAACATGTTTTTAACCTCTCAATATTATATAGTTATACATATATAGTTATAGTTTGATGTGTTTTCTAAAACAATATAGATGAAAGTACAAGTATATATATCAAATTATATTGTTACCATTCAAAAGATGACCATTAAATTGACGATGTGTTAAATTTTTAGATTTTTTTATGACTGATTTAGGAGAAACGTGTGTTCAAAAAGTTCTCCATATAGATACCGCTCCTTTGCCTCGCCTATTAACACATGCCTCGCCTCGATATTTTCATTCTAGCTAAGCCCTAGATCACTGGTGATCCACTCGATTACGCTGGTTACCACAAACGTATCTCAGAAACATATGTTTTAGAAAATGTTCATGTTTGCGAAAAAATAGCTCAGAAGACAAAAGAATCGTCGATTTAATCCCTCACTTAAGTTACATAAACGGTTTTGATTAAAAGTGCAGATCTTAACTGTTTTTCGAAAAACCTTTTATGTAACTTAAGTGAAGAATTAAATCGACGATTCTGTTGTCTTCTGAACTATTTGATCGCACATATGTACATTTTCTTAAACATATGATACTGATACACGTTTGTGTTAAAAAATGTCGTGGGAATTCTGCCTACAACGTGTGAAATAAGGAAAAGAGAAAAATCGTACCTTCGACGTTCCGACATTTTGTTACCAAAACGAACCGTTTCGGTAACCAGCGTAATCGAGTGGATCACCAGTGTAGATTAAAACCAGGAGTCTGCTCTATTAATGATGTGAATGCAAATCAAATAATATCATTCTTCGAGTCTATTTCTTCAATAAGAACTTAAAACTGAAAAAAAGATTAAACAATAAGCAGTGTAAAACAAAGAACCATGGCCCTGATTAGAAGGTGATAGAAAATTAATTGGGACAAAAAATTATTAATGGCTAATGGGTTTTTGATATATTGTTACACTATGGGTCGAATTCGATTATCGTTAATGGCATACATGTTATAAAGTAATATAATACATTTGAAAAATAACATTATGAACACATTTTAACACGACCGTTAGAAAATAAGACCTCAGCATATAGGCCTATGCCAAAGTTGGAGATGGTGATCAATTACATTTGTGCTGAGGATGTGTTGTTTCTTATAACTGCATAGCCTAACATTGTTTTTACTATATCCGGTCAACATTTAATCATATTTAGAAGTTAGCACTGTTTTGAGGAAAATAGACGTGTAGAATGACGGTACCCTCAAGAATATATAGTTCCCTTTTCATAACCCTTTGCACGATTGAAGTTTGGAGGTTTAAGGACAATGATATTTGTTATTAGATCCTCGTAAAATTTCCGGGGTCATAATTTTTGTATTCCATGAATACTGTAGATATAGAGGGCAATATAAAATTACCAAGAAGTTGAACAAACATTTACTGGCGTTTGACATTGACCTTTAAGCGTGATATGTGTTTCTAGGAACACTGTAATAACAAAAAATGAAATACCTATATATCGACCTTGACTTAAGGATGAACTTGACCTTTTGATCTGTTTTGACCTCTTGTGACCTTACTATGGATGTATAGTTACTATGTTGTCGGGTAACCTCACTACTAGTATGTAATTTTAACCATCAGGTGACTTTGACCTCAAAACGTCCTTGACATATAACACCAATGCTGAATATTGTACGTATAAGGTGACCTTGACCTGAATACGTATTTGACCTTTAACACCAATTTCGAACATTTAGTTACAGCGACTTATCCCTCAAAAGTAGTTTCAATAGGTTTGGTGACCTTAGAGTAACAACATCTGTTTCACTTATCTTTCCGTACCAAAACATTTCTTCGAAAACACTTGAATAAGTTCCTAGAGGAGTTTAATTGGGTCAAAAAGGCAAGTTTTTATCAAATAACGAATATTTTGCTTTAATTGAGAATAAATATATATATAAAATAATGATTTATAGAATCGTATCATAGATTACATGACATATCGATGTTTATATCTCAATCACGTTTCAAGATATGAATAGTAGATTTTGAGTTTTTGAATCAAACACGATCTTACACTATTTGTTACTTTGTATTTGACCTAGATATAAACAATTATGGAATATCAGTGAAGCTTGTTGTCAAAATTGTATCCCGAACAGATTTAAATAAACAAAGCAAAATAATATAACAATGGCTAACTTCAAAAACGTCAATTGCAACGTTGTTTGAATTTCTATTCCGCTATTATATTTCATGTTGTTGCATACATGTATATGATGATAACACAATTTTAAGTGGAATTATGATATCAATAGCTATTAACCGATAATATATTGTGTCAAAGATCAAATCTTTTGACCATTAATTGGCCAATCATGATTGGGTATTTAGATTGAAGTACTAATATTACTATAACAATGTGTATTATTAACTTGGTCAGATAACATGAAGGCCTTATACGGAGTACTGACGTCACTCATGCGAAAAGAGGTCAAGGGTCGTCCATTATGCCCCATGTTATGTCACGATATGTTTATATGCAATATGCTTTTTGCAAATAACGGAAGTTTTCCCCGACTTAAATGTTTATAGATTATTTTCCACTATCTTTTTTGTTAATTGGAATTAGCAAACGAGTTAGTACGTTGATAGATACTACCGTGTAGGTGGCATTTGGTACAATTGAATAGTTGGAGTTCTGCAGGATTACGCACTTCCTTCCGAGTCGTCTGCTCCTTCATTTACAGTATGGATTTTCGTGTGGTTGTGTCAAAGGCTGTACTCTAGTTGATATTGGAGATGTTAAATAACAAATCGTTCATCAACATTTTGAATGCCCAAAACGTCAAGAAAACTATAATTACTACAGTTTTGTCAATTTTATTGAATTTCTGTTTTAAAATGACGTTGTGGATGTATGCTCGGAAATCTTACCATATCGAACATTTGAATTTTGATACTTTTTAGAGACCTTTGTATCATGGTATCATATAGCAACGTGTGTCAATAGGAAGACATCTTTACAACGTAACGATGGGGCAATATACAAGTTGTTCGAAATCATCGATTTCATGATTTAAATTCACTAAGCCTACTTTGAGAGACCATACAAAAATTAGGCTGGCGGTACTTCTATGTTATTTCATGATTGTTACATATTATGAGTAATATCGGAAGTATTAAGCTCGACATATCAAATAAACATAATTACTGTCCATCTTTCTGTTGGATCACAATGACCTTATTAAAGATTCTAGCTCATAAGTTTATGTTTACTAACAGATCCCGGATAATGTAGAGTATTGTATCACCATGGGCTTTCAATCAGTTGAAAGCCCATTGTTTCACGTAATTATTGCACCCCGGGAATTATTGTCCTCTTCTTAATGTCGACTTCTAGCATTTACATGTTACTTACTTATTGTTCTGTGTGATATTTTCAGAAATCATATTTTGTATATTTCCTAATTCATGTCATAATTTCTTGTTTCAAATAAAAAATCGGCAAGATATTTCATCCAGTTAATGGAGCCCTAAAGCGAGAAGTAATTGTACGATGATGTTCTTTTAATTTGAAGATCGGAAATCAGGTCATTGAAATGGTATCACCGGGTGAAGATTAAAATGCATTCTGTGTCTGGTCTAGTACATCAGGTACATGGCACGAGCGTTTACATGCTAATGCTAATGGGAATTTCTTTGCGTGAAACTAACTTCACGCCATGATTAACAATAATTCAATTGTTCCCGATGGAAAGCGACAATATTTCTCCGAAGAATAATTTATGGTTAGTGTTCTGTG